TTTCTTTCTTTCTTTCTTTCTTTCTTTCTTTCTTTCTTTCTTTCTTTCTTTCTTTCTTTCTTTCTTTCTTTCTTTCTTTCTTTCTTTTCTTTTTCTTTTTTGAAATAGATATTGATTTCAGAGAGAGGAAGGGAGAGGGAGAGAAAGAGAAACATCAATGATGAGAGAGTCATTGATCGGCTGCCTCCTGCACACCCCAACTGGGGATCAAGCCCACAACCTGGGCATGTGCCCTGACTGGGAATCGAACCCTGATCACCTGGATCCTAGATCGATGCTCTACCGCTGAGGCATGCCCGGCCAGGCTGAAGAACACATTCTTTAAAAAAATTACACAAGTGATGCACTAAACAGTTTCCTTAAAAATAAAAACCAAAACATTGCAGATGAAGCTGTCATCCCTGCCACCACTCTGTTGTGATCCCCTTCCCTCCCTCCCTCCCTCCAGAAAATCAATCTCTGTTTTTGGCCTATTTCCTTCTAGATCTTTTTCTATGCTTTTACATAAATATCCACAGGAAATGAGATTTTTATTCTATTAGTTAACACTGAGAAAAGAAAAGACAGGGCTTACAGGCTCAAAGCTTAAAATATGAAACAAAAGAAAGAAAAAAAGTAAGATTTTTATTATAATGATATATAGGACATGTAATGTTGTCTGTGTTTCTTTTATATAAGTGCAATTTCACAACTTGCTGTTTTCTTCTTAATAATATCTTAGAGACATTTATATTCATTTCAAATAATGGAACCCCAGCTCTAACTAACTTAAGGAAGAGCAGACAGGAATTTATTGGCCCTCATAACTTGAAGTCTGTGATTGATCTAGGCCCAGCTGTATCTAGGGTCTTACTCAGTGTCCTACCTCAAACCTCATTTTCTTCAGCTTTCAGCTGTTTTTCTGTTAGATCCATTCTCAGTCTGGCTTATTTCTTTAATGGCAAGATTGTTATTAGCAACTCTAGGTTTATTTCTCACAACTTCTCCAGAAAAGGGCTTTTTTCCCTCAACAGTTTCAACAAAAGCCATGGAACTGAGTCTCAGTGGCTAGGAATGGTGTGGCTTGGGTCACAATTCCCCAAACCCATAGCTGTGGACTGGAGTATGTGATTCTTAAGCCTATGTTTCCAGGACTCCTTTCTGGAACCATCCTACCCAAACTGCATTTGAGAACTGGGGGGGAAGCTCCCTGGGAAATGTGCTACCACGAAAGAGATAGTAAAGGGTAAGCAAGCCAGAATAGATGTCTGCTTTACTATTTCATTAAATGGATGGCTTTTGAATATTTAGATAAGAAAGTAATCCCTAGGAACATAAATTACTAAGAATGGTCATTTAACTGAGACACAGACTGAAACTGTAGAAAATCTAGCAGCATTGTAGGTTTTATTTTACTTCATGTGAATGGAAGAAGAGAAATGTCAGTGATCATCTTTTTTTTTTTAATATGTCTTTGTTGATTTCAGAGAGAGGGAGAGGAAGAAAGATAGAAACATCAATGACGAGAGAGCCATTGACCGGGCTGCCTCCTGCCTGCAAACCTGGCCATGTACCCTAACCCGGAATCAAATTGCTATCTCCTGGATCATAGGTCGATGCTCAACTAATGAGCCACGCTGGCTGGGCTAGTGATCCTCTTTTGATAAATAATGAAAAATTCTAAGTTTTTTTAATACCTTCCAGAAAACATGTCCATTTAAATATTACCTGGACAGTACATTATTTAGTAAGTCAGCTGTTTCTAATACAGATTTGCAGAAGTTAATTTGACAAGATACAGCAATAATCTCTGAAATACATGTAGCTTATAGACTTCTTTGTTCAACATAACATCAGCAAGGAGTATTGTGGTCAGAATTGTATTAGCTTTTTTTTTGGAACTGTAGGAGAAAAGAGAACATTTTCTCCTTCATATCCTCCAGTTTTCTTTTATTAGTGGCAAAAATGTTCTTGTATATTTTAAGACCAGTCGTTTATGCTTTATTAATTAGCATTGAGAAAAGAACAGGCAGGACTTAGAGGCTCAAAATTTAAATTATGAAAAGGAAAAAGGCAGAATAAGATTTTTTTTTTTTTAATATATCTTTATTGACTTCAGAGAGAGGAAAGGAGAGGGAGAGAGAGAGACAGAAATATCAATGATGAGAGAGTCATTGATTGAGCCCACAACCCGGGCATGTGCCCTGACCAGGAATCGAACCCTGATCGCCTGGATCCTAGGTCGATGCTCAACCGCTGAGCCACGCCTGGTCGGGCAGAATAAGATTTTTAATAAATGGTATGTAGGGCATATGATGTTGTACATCTATAATTAAAAATGGTAGGAAACTAATCTGATTCCCTTTTGATAGGATTACTAGACTAACAGGTATATCTTTATTTCAAAGCATTTGGTAGATTCTCTTATAATTTTTGTGTGTGTGTGTGAGCAAGATAGAGAAATGTGATTTAGACAATTGAATAGTTAGGTGAATTCGTATTTGAGGAACAGCCATACAGCAGAAGTATGTTTGTTGATTGATATTAACCTGGAGAGATTTCTTTTAAGGCAATTTTGTACTTGACCTTGTTTGTTCAGTATTTTCATAAATTACTTAAATTATAGTATTGTAGGTATGCTTATGAATTTGTGAAAGACAAAAAGCTGGAAATGATGCAAGAGAGATCATAGTCAAATGTATCTTTATCAGATCACACATGGAATTTTATATCCATTTCTGAGTATAACACTTAAAACAGCTTATTTACCTATAAATAAATAAACTCAAATTTTTAAAAAAAGGAAGTTTATTGATAAGAGTAGAGAATCAAGGGGAAAGCAAGCAGATTTAGAAGAGATCTAGACACTGTATTATATGAATGCTTTAGGAAGATGGGAGTGCTATCGGTCATTGTAGAATGATGGCAGCTGCCTTTATGCTTGAGCTCTCATGTCCAATGGAAATCAGAGTTATTCTGTGATATCCTATAGCATCATTTCTCAAACTTAATATATTGCACACCTCCTACATGTGATACCTTTAGCTGTTCTATGAAGCACATTTTGAGAAACACTACTTCTCATAGAGTATTCCCATAGAGTATGATATTTGTTGGGAACAGAGGAGGGGATGGTTTCACAGAGCAGATTTTTGACTCAGCATAATAAAGAACAACTTTATAATTTAGAAAAAGGTTGTTGGTTACCGAGGTGAAAGTGCCACCTTAAAGTGTTAAGCTGCCTATCATAATCTGTGTGTTCCAACTTCAGTTATCACTGGTTAAAGCAGGAAAAAATCATCCTAATTTTTATGTAGTCTGCTCCTCCAGAAACAAATTGTGAAAAGATTTTGTTTGGGTATATGTATATTCAGCAGAGGAGTCAAATTATATATAACAGAATTGGGAAAAATTGAAAGAATTTGGAACATTTGAGAATCACCCATATTTTTCATGTTTTTTTAAAAATAGGTTCATCTAGTAACTGAAGAAGAGGAATCAGCTAATACATACACAGCACATCAGGTAAATTTGCTTAAAAATTAACATCACTTAGATCTAAATGTGGACACTGTCCCCAAAAGATAAAATGTGACCAGTTCCCCTACCCTACTTTTTTCTTTACCACTTTCAAATTTAGGTATAAAATATATATAATAAAATTCACTCTTCTTAGTTTATATTTATATGATTTTTCATAAATGTATATAGTCATATGACTACCACAAAAATCAAGGTAAAGAATAGTTTCATCTCTCCTCAAAATTTTCCTGTGCCCTTTGTAGTCAACCCATATCCCCTGGCAACAACTCATCTACTTTCTATCCCTATGGTTTTGCCTTGGAAGAATGTCATATAAATGGAATCATATAGTATATGGCCTTTCGTGTCTGGCTTCTTTCAATTAGCATAATGAATTTGAAACTCATTAATACTGTGTGGATTTGAGTTTTTACCTTGTTTCCTTTTTGACTACCCTTGGGTACTATTTAAGAAAAATATCTAGAAGTCATCAGCAAAGGAGTAAAACCCCACAAAATACAGTATTTACTCATAAGCAGCTGAGAAAATAAACACTACTTTTGCTGTCTCTTGTTTGCTTTCATGTTTTTAAATAAGTAAGAAGAATGTAAAATTATCAACTAAAATACCAGTTATGTGATTGAGCACTAGGGGTTATTCTTTGTGTTACAGAAAGAATATGCTTTTAAGATTGTATGACTGCACAGAGGTTAATTAAGTGTACCTAAACATATTGTTCCATCTTTTCTACCTTAGCAGTAGTTTGTCTAATAATATCTGATTTGAATTGGTTACCTGTTTTATTATGAGTCCTTCTTGATTTTAGATAGCTCTTTTCTTGCCTGCCAGCATCAAAAATAGTCAAAGTAGTACAGTATTCAATAACATGCCTTAGACTGATTGTATATTTATGTTCTGAGACTGCTTTTACAGATCTAGGTCCCAGTCATAATAGTAAATTTAAAATATGATCATATGTTTTTCTGAACATGTATCTGTTTCATGTTTCTTTTTTCTCCTTCCCTTGCACAGGTGGTTCTTCCAGTGCTTGGATACAGTGTTCAGTACCCAAAGAACAAAGTAGGCCTGTGGTACCAGGAAGTGCTTAGCAGAGACGGACTACAGATGTGTAGGTTTAAAGTACCTACTCTGAAAATGAATGTTCCAGGATGCTATAGAAAGATTTTAAAACAACCCCATAATCTCTCATACCAACTAATGGAAGAACATGATACGGATGTCAAAGCAGAAGGCTCCTACATCGATGAAGCAACTTTATCTCTTTTGATTTCTTTTGATCTTGATGCTTCTTGTTATGCTACGGTTTGTCTGAGGGAAATAATGAAGCATGACTTTTAAAACCGGTAGCCTTGGTATAACATTTATATGTCACTCTTTAAAGGAAAGGCAGCTAACATTTCTTTGAGCATCTGCCATATGCTAGGAGCTTTATAATTGTTATCTCCCTTAGTTACACAATATCCTAATGAAGTAGGAATTTTGATACTAACATTCCAGTAGACATATAGCTAGTAAATGTCGGGGTTTGAATTTAAGACTCCAAAGCCTGTGTGTGTTTTTTTCTATTATCTAACAGTTCAGTCACCTTTATTCTGTGTTATAAAAGTTGCAGTCTTTCTGGATTATGAGGAGTATATGTAATACTGCAAGATAAACTTAAGAAAAAATATTTTTAGAGCAGTGTTTATATCCTTTAGCTTCTTGCTTAGAATACAAGTGAAACTAGATTGTAATGAAAGTATATATTTAGAGATAGATGAAGCATTTTGTTAACTACTATTGTCATTCCTATTTTTGAAATGATCAGAAAAATACATCAGGGAAATGTAATCCTTCTATTTATGATAGCTACCTCCGGGTAGTTTATACTTTTATGAGATAAATAATCTTTAATGAAGTTTAAAATAAAACATTTTATACAATTTCTTTATTTTGTCATACATTGACCCTCACCTTTTTTATTATTAT